TACTCTTTGTATTAATATGAACACACATTACACACGCATATGTACGCGTGTCATGTCCCTGACGTACCCTCTAGAGTTGGCTGTGGTTTTAAGCGTAAACGCCATACGCACTTCATTCCACCAGAAGTCACTGAGGCGCATGGGCTTCTCTTCCCAGCGCAGATAAAACAGTCGCAGCATCTCCCACATGCCCTTCTCATTCTCACCCATCACACTGATACTGTAGTGAAGGTACGAATACATTCAGTACGTTTACAGAGGGAATCAATTAATCATCATCTAAAGACCTTTCTTATATTCACCCAGCACACTGATACTGTGGTGAAGGTACGAATTATCTAAGCACATCCACACAGAGAATCAAGAGATCATATATCTATCGCATACTCAAAATCACACTCACACTGTAGTGAATGGATTAAGAATTAAGTACATCTACAGAGAGAATGAAGAGATCATCATCTATTGAATACCTATCTCATACTCGTAATCACACTCATACTGTAATGAATGGATTAAGAATAAAGTACATCTACATAGAAAACCAACAGCTCATCAACTATATACTTATCTCATATTCACACATCACACTGATACTGTAGTGAATGGATTAAGGATTAAGTACATGTACAGAGAGAAGCAAGAGATCATCAACTATATACTTATCTCATATTCGCCCATCACCCTGATACTGTAGTGAATGGATTAAGGATTAACTGTAGTGAATGGATTAAGGATTAACTGTAGTGAATGGATTAAGGATTATGTACATGTACAGATAGAAGCAAGAGATCATCAACTATATACTTATCTTATTTTCACCCATCACACTGATACTATAGTGAAGGTACGAGGAAGCTGGTATATAAATAAAACAAATACATCCCCCCCCACAACCTGCATTCCTTCTCACCAGTCACACGCATACTGCAGCTACGAGAATACGCACACATACACAAAGCATGGTTGCGTGCATATCCATACTCTTAACAGACACAGGCAGTAGCATTAAACCAATTGATACCCATCTCGACAGCTAGTACTACTGTCTCTGCAAACAAACAGCGCACGTCAGCTGCAAAGGTAAGACTGAGCAACAACAACTGAGCTATGTGCATTCGCAAGGCATAGTGTGCAATGCCACACAACTTTAAAAACCCCACAGACACCGTATGGTCCAGGTAATACTGAGAGATGTTAATCCAAAGGGTATACGAATAAAGCCATGCACGCAAACTGAAGGAGGCTTCACCAATGTATACATGGTAGTAGCCATGCGTACACACTCCGCACTTCAAAAGAGTCCAATAAGGGAGAGCACATCGTCAACAAAAAATGAGGTACACTCATAATATATGACCCACACAAAACTGGAAAATCATTGCTCGACAAAACGATAGCGTGGGAACAGACTAAACCGTAACAAAGGAG